AAAAAAAAACAACAACTTATAACACCTATAAGCACAGTAAACAACAGAAAGAAATGATTAAACCAAGTGAAACAATTATTATAAAAACTAAAAAAAAAACAACAACTTATAACACCTATAAGCACAGTAAACAACAGAAAGAAATGATTAAACCAAGTGAAACAATTATTATAAAAAACTAAAAAAAAACAACAACTTATAACACCTATAAGCACAGTAAACAACAGAAAGAAATGATTCATATATAAAGATAAGTGGCATCGTGAATAACATGAAATCCAAGAGTTATAATTGTTATTTCTAGCCTGAACGAATCTTATTGAACACATGGAATAAATTATAAGGTCAGGGATCCTAAAAATGAGCTACAACCATCCCTAATTTAGACTACTTATCAGAGTGAAGGCAACAAATCATCAGCATCTGCCGCCTGCGTGGCTATTTTTAAACGAATATCAAGAATGACTGTCACAATTATAACGTTTCCTCGCAGCTGAAAATGTTGAGCATCTTCACGGATGTCGTAGCTTGAATCTTGGTTTTTACAGTCTGCAGCTCGGCACGATAGCCGTTAGGCTACGACCGGACATATAGTGTATAACGTGTAAAGCTAACTGGCATAGTCAACAAAGCAACCGTCAGAATTACAAGATCAAATAAATTGTAAAGTCAACTGGTATCGTAATAAAACCCAACAACAAGTATTATAGAAGTGAATAATATGTAAAGTCAATTGGGATAGTCATAAACAACAACAATAACAAGGATTATAGGAGTGAATAGAATCTGGTATAGTAAACTAGGAATGGCTCACCAGTAAGATGAAATGGTACAGTAAACTTAAAACAAACAACAAGAATTACAATAGTGTTTCACCTGAATATTAAATCATGTAGTTAAGAATTATTTTCAAAAATAGGGGCAAACTAACTGGGTAAATTAAACAACATTGATTACTTGTAGTCACAATTTTTGAACAATAGAGTACTTAACAGCGGCGTCCATATTTAGTTGTGAGCCCTTGTGCGGGATAAATTACGTAACTTATACAAGTACATATACAAATGAAATACATCAATATAGCAAAAATTAATAGATGGTCAGAAATTATTTCAAGTGCATTTAAATACTAGATAAATTACTCTTTCCTGATTTGGAATATACAAAATACATTTCACTGTTAAGCGATTGTAATTAAATTCTAATTACATTACTAGCAAACATAAATAAATCATGGTAATATTACTCTTAAAGTTCCCAGTAGCACAGCGGTATGTCTGCAGACTTACATGTCTAGAAACAGGGTTTCGATACCCGTGGTGGGCAGAGCACGGATATCCTATTGCGTAGTTTTTCAAATAACTAAAACTAAACCTAATATTAAAAAGGAAAATAACAACCAATTAGTAATAAATAACAAATCATAACAAAATACAATGGGGAGAAAATCCCCCAAAAATGGGCCAGGAGCCAGGACAGAGCATGTTCAAAGGATGACTGGCAGAACAAGAATCGCCAGCTGCTAACATCACAGTCATTCTGTTCTCATTTTGCCATTGTTTTTAGCAGACCGTTTAAAGTTAATTTGATTAGGGCTTGGTGGGCCCCCTAGAGCTCGTGGGCTCATGTGCACTGCACACTCGATATAGTCGCCCCCGGAATACTACATAAAGCAGGAATAAGGCTTAATAAAGATTGAGGATATGATTAATAGACATACGGATGTCATGAATTTTTTAACAGAGAAACAAAATAATATTAGTGAAATAAAAACTCCATTAAAATCAGAATGCAAATCATTGACTTTAATGACAACTTGATAAACTATTTGTATATTCTTTCAAGCATAAATGTACAGAAATTTTGACGTATACAACCTATATAATATATTTTAAGCACATGTCATATAGAGGATCGAGTACGTAATATTGAAACAGTTTGTAACCTCACTATGTAGTTGTTACAGTCCATGTTGCCACGGCCAGTCATATGGCAAAACACTCCGTCGTAGAGATGTCATAAATAAAGCACACCACTCTCCCCTGCAAGATTTTCATAACCCATCTAGTGTAGGAGGAAGACAGTTGTCATTGCCTGTTTCATCTGTCCGATCGTACAGAAATCCATAGGCTCTGTATCCAGCGACTTGACTAGTATGTCTTGGTATGAATAACAGTTTCATTCTCCAGCTGCTTTGGGCATGTGATCCTTGATTTGATATTTCCTAGAAGAACTTGTGTACATAGACTTGTGTCGCTTTTACAGATGGAGATCCTTTTTGATTATGTTGCCCACTGCACTTTGATTACCATGGTTAGGGTACGACTTGATGTAGGTCTCTTTTTGGATAGTCTTAGTGTCTCAAGTTGATTCACATTCCTTTGTTTTCGGATACCATTAAGTACAAGGGATATTCTCCTCTTGAGAATTCTAAATCCCCTATCTGAACACATCTTTATGATCTCACGATATGAATAATTTGCATCAAAAGGATCTGTTGCATACCATTCCCCCCAAAGAAGATCAATTTTCGTTTAAATTACACTCTCTATAAAACACCAAACAATGTCAAAATGTAGTTCTGAAACTATTCGTTCATCACGACTTTATATCAGATGTCACGTGACATGCTGATTTTCACATTCGAAATCGTTTTAATATAGCTTATCTAACCTTATAGTTGCAGTGTGTAAATGTGTAATACTAAAGTTAAGTGTTATTAAAGAAACTACTCAAATGCAATTTTAGATCAGTTTTCTATTCCTATTTATATGAACGGTGTTAAGATATCAGTTTTCGGTTGAGCAATAGTGAGCGGCAGGGAAAACTTAAAGAGGGAAGAAATTCTAAAAATTGGGATGACTGTGGATCTAATCTTTTGTGTATGTTCACAGTGTAAAAATTTTTAAGTAATAGATTAAAACAGTACATTTTCTCTTCTGCTTGCGAAGCACTAAGAGAAATAGTGTTAAATTCATGAAACTACAATATATTTTTTTAAAATATATCTGATTCTAGTTTCTATATTTAAGAATCTTTTCAGTTTATTTATATTGTTTGTTAGGCCGTAGCTTTGTAGGTATGCAGTGTTTGTTTGTGAGGTTGGATGAATATTTAGTCCTCAGACATAACTATTTTCTAATCAGTTAAAATGGTGAACCTAAATCCTCTCACTAAACAATATTACACAGGAAAAAATCTGGTGTAACAAACTTACTCAAAATTTTCAAATGTCTATCTTCTACAAACTGTGTAAAGTTAGTTATTTTTATCTTATACATAGTCATATTCTACAAACTCAGTCGTTTTTTTAAAATACTAGTCATCTTGAACAATCTCAGTCACCTTTTCAAAACCTAATCATCTACAAACTCAATCACCTTATACGAAGTCAGCTAAATTCTACGAACTTCGTTACTTCGTGAAAGTACTTTTACTAAAACGTTACTAAAATAATTTTCATGTTAGAAAAGACTAATGTTTAAGCTCAGTACTAGAAATACTGTAAAACACTTTAAATTTGTCTATAGTGGAACAGAGTAGAATGGCCAAAGATCTGCTATGTTCTCAGTCGTTTGACTAACCATGGCATTTTGTATATAAAAAAAAGATACACTTAACCTATTACGTGTAAAGCGTTAATATCCAGACACGCTTGAACAATTGTATCTAGAACGTTCAAAGTCAAGATAACTTGAAGTATGCAGCCTGGTCGGGCAAACTGGTTCCTTTGATCAGTCAGAAATACTTAACTAATTATATTTATAGTGCCAATAGACAAACATGTAAACTCGTCTAATTAGGATTACATGCAAACTATTTACAAATAGATAGCTACGTAGGACCTACAACATCTACAGAGATAAAGTTATTCAAATACAGCTATCTGACGCTAGGGGG